TGACCAAAGTTTTTTTTATATGTACGGATACGATAATAAGCTCGTCACAATAGATCAAACTTTGTTGAAACTTTAGACTTGGGTTTTCAGCATAATTTGTCGGGGGTACGGATCCTACAATTCGGTTTAAAAAAAAGGAAATAGGCCAGGAGAGTCTGTCCGCGGGAGGGTTAATTTCCCCCTTTTCAAGAAGGCAAATGAACTCTACGCTGGCTTAACTCCCCTAACCAATTATTATCTTTATTGCCTAAATTTTTACTTTATTTTGAACCCGCGTTGTTTGTCTGGTGGAGACTTCCTCGCGTTAACTTCCGGCTTGTAGTAGAAGAAACAGGACATGCGCGCGAGCTGGGTTTCGGCACATGTGAGAAAGGCGGACATTTGATAGCGCCGCTTATCTCGACCAAAAAAAGGAGTTCCTCCAAGTGAAGCATAACTAGAAATCCCTTTGCTAGCGGCCGGCCGCTGGTGGGACGCCTTGCACACGGGCTATGTCCGACTTGAAAAGAAATCAACGCCGAAAAACAACAAAAACATTGCCGGGCTATCCCACGGCATTCTCGCACTGCGCACGCGAGTATTTTTATATATCAAAGAGCCCACATATTTTAGTGGGTAAATTCGTCATCCATTGTCTCAAAAGAAGAAGTCAAACCCAGCAAAACTAGTACCGTGTATGTTATAGAATGTAGTATAGTGTTAGACGTAGTCTCACATAAAATTGTCTTTTCTTTTTTCATACATGTTGTTTATAACTGCAATTAGCCCTCGGGCATGTATTTGCAATAAACCTTCATTATTCCGTGGTTGAAGATATGAAGGGGTAGCGTCTATCAGGCTTCGGGAGGCGGCTAGAAAGAGTAGGGTAGAAATTGGCCTGAACGCGGGTGCGGCAAACTGTACCCTCTAGCAGACCAACTCCCCTGGCATGTTATCTCTACTTGGCCACTTTCTACTCTTTACCAATCGCCACTCGACGAATCCTGGAAGAGGCTATGAAGGGAGGACACAGGTTCGTGTACGGGACAAATATAGCCGGGAAGTCAGAACCCCCGGCCGGCCGGTGGACCTTTGACGACGGGACAACCCACTGAAGTAGCAAAGTAATCAAAACATCAGCTTATCGACGGGAGGCTTGTATAAACATGGCTCAACGCGCGGGGTCTCGTGTGTCATCGCTTTAAAGGTTACAAGTGCGACAGGTTTTTTATTTCCTATCCCCGACATTCTTTTTTTTTTCAGAAGCACACCGACGAATACAAATAAAAGGACATGGACTGAGTGACTGCGAACTCATGTTAAGTACAACTTATATTCTCGCAGCCACTTTTACAATGGAAAAATGCGTTTACAAGACATTTGAAAAACTATGTATAGCATGAGTCAAACCTCCCATACACTTGATCATGAAACCTCCCTCCCCGACATTCGCGGAGGAAAATAAAACTTGACACTTCAAGGCACCGAAGTAAAGCGATTTCAGGGCAGTAAAACTGGACTTTTAAAGTAATTTTTCTGGTCATCTTTTTAAAAAGTACTAGTAGTAAATTGAATCAACCCTATCCAATAGCATAATGATATTTGTGAGGCAAAAATGCGACGTCGCTGACGGAAAACGGTTTCTTGTTTCGTAGCGCATGCCGTTAACGTTGCTTTCAAAAACACGGTATACCCGCTTTTTAGCGAAGTTTAAGTCCCAAAAGACACAAGCATTCGCATAGTTGTGTCTGTGGCGCCTACTTTACTGAACAGGATACGGCAGTTGTTCGTTTCATGTCGCTCTGACTCAGAGCGGCCTTCAGACTTGTCAAGGCCCGGATGAATTCCTGCGGTGTTCCGTTGACTGACCAGGACAAACATGACCTATGGACTATAGAAAAACGCTGCTGACACACCGAGTGACAATATACTATACTCTCTATATATAAATACAGCATGGTGTAATATAGTAACTTGTACTTCTGTATTTGTATCTGTATCGGTATAGATAGTATAACCGCCCTTCGGCGTAACACAATAGCTTCGCAGGCACGCGGCGCGGCGGCAGCTAGCTATACTGCACCAAACTACCTTTTGATTTACACCCAATCTTTGCACGTCTAGCTACAGGAGTTGTTTAAAGCTTTGTAGTAATGATGTCCCAACTGTACTTGGTGGCAACGAATTCCACTCTACGATAGCTCTTGGAAAATACTTAAGTTTTTACTTACCGAGATACACTTCATGCAACGTTCTTATCTAGGAGGAACACTAGGACGAGATGCCCTAAGCTTGCCTTGGGGTATCGTACTCTACATGTATATATATATAGCTACAGCACAATCTGCGAACACTGTGAGTGTGTAATATAATAACTTGTACTTACCGAGGTATACTCCACTCTGACTCGCACATTTGGCGGCAGCGACGTTCGTGTCTAGGTAGAACACCAGCACGAGATGCCCGAAGCTCGCCTTGGGGTACGGATCCAGCGCGATGACGGCGTCGTGGCGACCGGCCCGGGCCAGCCCGCCGTCGGGGAGGACGGCCAGGTAGCCGCCGCTGCCTCGCTCGGCCGGCTCGGTCATGTACAGGTGGACGGAGGAGCGCGGGATGGAGACCAGCGTCCGGCACTCCCGCTCCGTGGTGAAGAACACGGCGTCGCAGGCCAGGTTGTGCAGGTAGTGGTACGCCGCCATGGCCCACCGGACCTGGCGCAGGTCCTGCTCGGACGGGGTGTGCCAGTCCAACCGAGGGTCGATCAGACTCGATACGGTCGGTAGGTGCACCGTCCCCGTACAGAATATAAACAACCCGAACTGAAGGTAACGTACTACATCCATCTCTGGTTCCTGTGTGTGGAAATACTAGTAGTACAACACTCCTCCTGGAATAAGAATCTTGAGGGAAAAAGTACGTGGTTGTTTCCTGGTGCGGTAACTCCGTGCACCCGTGGTTGTTCCGTGCTGCTGCCCTGACGACCGGCGAATCCCGCCCGCCGGAAACGTCGCTCCGGTTTTTATGGATAAACCGGCATAACAAACAAGCTTTCCTACGAACCGACACACGCGCTCACGGCTCCCCCGCTTCACATGAAGACCACCGCGCCCCTCCCCACGAACTAACTCAAAACATCGCGGTGCGCGCGACCGAGCCTGAAAGCCATTAGGGACAGTGTTTGCGTAGAGGGCCGCCCCCTCTGTCGGTAAGGCCCGAGTCGAGCGCAGATTGGCCAGCGGGCCCGCACACATGTCAGCGCCCAGCAAAATTAATCAGCTAGGGCAGGCGTACTCTCCAAGCAGAGGTTTGGGTTTGGGTTATTTTGGGCGCTTTTGTAGGCTCTTTTTGTTTGTTTGTTTTTTTGCACTGGGATTTTTCTGGGGGTCGGAGGGAGAGAGAGAGAGAGGGAGAGGGACAGGGAAAGAGAGAGGGGGAAGAAACAGAACGAGAGAGGGAAAGAGAAAGTACAACTATATTTGTACCACATTGAATGGAAACGTTACTCTAGTTATATTCAATATAAACTAAATGATAACTACATACAACCATACTTAGATGAACCTTAAATACAAAATGACGAAAGAAAAACTAAAACGAAGTATTCTAATTCTTCAAATTCAGCGCATGGACTTGAAGTGAACTAGGACTTTCAAATAGAATGCATCTAGTAACGCCTAAATTCAATAGAAAAGCACAGAAAATAAGAATCCAGTGCAAAGTTTTTGCCAAAAGTAAGATATATACGTTGAACACTTTAAGTTACCGATGGACGCCATATTTGTCTACGTACAAACGTTAAACCAAACGCCTGCACGGTAGGTTTGCCGAAGGGTGTTCTAACACGTTCTAACCTCGCCTGATTGGTCACGCCGGGTCTGTGAATGACGTCAGTCGTCAACCTCACAGTCATGGGTGACGTCACACCCACCTTAAAGTGGGTTCTTTACACAAACACGCGCCCTTAAGAACACAAAGGGGGCCGGCGTACGGACTTGCGACACCAGCGTGTTATAAAGGCGTGGAGAAGTCAGCCCGTAAAACAGGCCCCACGGCGTTTGGTACCCTCGTTATTGGGCTGATACAAATGATTTTTTTAATGCTAACGTATTCTAACAGACTATGCGCAAAATATGGGAGACATCACAATATTCTAGATGTCATACATGACGAAAAAAAGGTCCAATAGCCTTTTTAAAGTCGTAGAGACATTGCGTTGTTGCATGGTGTCTTGCTATCGTGTCGCAAGAGCCCATCTCTCTCCTTTTACCGCCTTCTACCTCCCCAACCGAAGTCAGGTACTCATTTTATACCTGGGTGGTATAAAATGTTAGGAAAGTCATGCAAAGTGACTTTCCCAAAGGCACAACATCTAGCGAGGAATCGAACCCTTAACCACCCGATCCCTAGCCTGGGAACGGTCTGTAAGGTGCGGCTCAGTGACTCACGAGTTCGGCTTGTTTCCTCCGTTTTGATGTATTGTTGCCCATTGATTGTGTCGTTCAACGTTTGCACCCCTTTTGTGGTAAAAAAAAGGAAATGTTATTCAGCCCTAAGAACCCACTTAACATAGCTGCCGTTCGTACACAGTGCCCACGACACGGTCAGGAATGTCACGATTGTATGTTCCTTTGGGCGTGTTTGTAAGCTACAAAGTGGTCAGATGAAATGTTGACAAAGACATCAATACAGCACTTTATAGCAACGAGATTCAAGGCGCATCTGGTGTTTTCGATACCAAACATTCGTCAACGAGGAAGAATTTAAAACTCTTAGTCTCCTTCGAACTGACTTGAAAAAATGTTTTCAAATAAAATGTTTGATACGATTCAGGAAAAAATGACGTAACATGGCGTACAATTAACCTAGCGTAAGAGATCAAAATATATTTATCGTCTTGAAGTCAATATAAAAACTTATTTTTTTATTCAATTATTAACTCATTTTATTTACTTAACTTATTTTTACAGTCGTCTATATGATTATTCCTTTTATTTAAGCTCTAAGATGCTGATGGAAGGTGAACTGGGTTCTGGAAGCACTGTAGAAGCGGCACCTTGCGGAGGGCGAACGTTCTGCACGTTCCACTAACACCGTATACCCTGCTCTGACACACGTGTCCAGGGAATTAACTAGCCCAGTCTCAATAAACATTGGGTTCTTTCTCTCACTACCGATATTTCTACATCCCGACCCCGTAAAAAAATCCCCGAGTGCGCTAGCAGACCTGGGCGGGCGAGCAGCACTACATGTACCGAGGAAAATTCCCGTGAACCTCACGGTATCGTCCGGTGCCAGGCTATCTACTATAATCTAGCCTCTAACAGGCTTCGGGAGGCGGTCATAAAGAGTAGAAATTGGCCAAATAGAGAGAGATAACATGCCAGGGGAGTTGGTCCGCTAGATCTATCGAGAGTACATTTTGCCGCTCTCTAGCCGTCTCCCGAAGCCTGGTACAGGCTATAAGGCTATCGTCCCGACAGCTGTGATGAGAGAATGTCTTTGAAGAGGGCCATCCTCGGGTAGACAATAACAAGAGCGGACAGATAGATCCACTTTCGGGACATGTTTTGAAATAAAACACCCTGTTAAACAGCGGATGTGCTTTAAACTCCTTCTCATAAGAATGTCTGACAAGTAGAGTAGAACTGATATAAGAGTTGTATATTTTCCAGCTCCGGACGCCCAAGAGACCAAATTAGGCTAGAAAAAAACAACAGATATTGCAGACAGACAAAACATAGCCTAGGTCTTAGCACTATTCCCAAGAGATGCGGCGGCTTATAACATCAAAGTCGGTAACTCTGAGACAGTTGCCATATCGGAAAACATTAAAGACTTCCTCAGACGTGCTTCAAAGACGATTCCCTTATCAGAAGTTATCTACAAAACATGGCGGGGATTAGTTAAGGAGGAGGAGGAACTGGGGTGAGCGGCGGGCGGATTTGTAAAGCGCGGTTAGCTTAAAGAGGATTACTGATAAAAACAACACGGTGATATTTTATATCGAACACATCAATGAGTTTATTTTTGCTTTGAGAAGAGCCTTGTCCCTGAACTGAAATGTTATTAAATTGTTTGTTTCGTATATCGTAAACCGTCTTTAGATGTACACTCCAGTTTTGTTCAGTGTGGTTAGCTTAAAGAGGATTACTGTTAAAAACAACACGATGATATTTTATATCATACACATCAATGAGTTTGCTTATTTGTTTGCTTTGCTAAGAGAAGAGCCTTGTCCAACAATTGAAACGTTATTGTTTGTTTCGCATATCCGGTATAACCGCACTTCATTCGGCGTAAAACACCAGCTTCGCGGGCACGCGGTGAGGCGGCAGCTAGCTATATTACTCCAAACGACCTGTTGCACCAAATCTTTCCATAAATAACTGCAGGAGTTGTTAAAACTATATATTGATGACGCCCCAACTGTACTTAATGGTGACAGCGAGTTCCACTCCACGATAGTTCTGGGGAAATACGAGTTTTTGAACACCTCAATTCTTGGTTGCCAGCTCTGATATTTGAAGGCATGACTAGAACTAAGATTAGAGAACCAGAACTAATTCCTTACTTCTCTCTACGACAAACAAATGGATGAACATTGAACAAAAAATTGAAAATAGTTCATTAACCCAGGTTACCTATGATGATATTAGCAAGCTACGGAGAGAATATAAGCACACATTTGCCGTGTCGGTCTCTATGCAACATGGAGTACCTTCCAACTGGCGTTCTTTCTAACCCATCTCATCCTAATTCTCCCAAACTACCCTTAATGACCAGGGTCGACTTTAACTAATTAAGTAAGACTATAATCATTAACTTCCTGGCGACAGTGCCGGCTCCGGACGGTTTCTTCCTCAGGGTGTTAGTTAGCGGTCCGCAAAGTCCAACACTCCAGAACTGTCACAAACCATTTCCAAACTTACTCATCTTCATATCAGCTCGCCAGCAAAGTAACAAGTACGGGAAGGTTACATTGCTGACCAAACGTTTCTGTTTGTTGATTAAAAAAAGGACGTAAGAAAGAAAGACTTCTATCTGTGTCATAGTGATTATTTTCTTGGCCAATGAGTTCAAGGTCTTTGTCAGATTAACTTCTAAGGAAACTGCAGTAAAAGTTGGTATGTAATCACTTCCTAGCGGGCCAGTTTTCGCTTAATCTCCGATCCGATCCGATGACGGAATGAAATGTCTCCGGTTTGTTTTGTACTTTTTATGTGACGCTTTTGATGCGCTTTTGCTGTAGCGATGTAGCCTCTACCAGACCTCAGAGGCGTCTTAGAAGCGTTGGCCAAATGACAACACGCTCAGAGCGGCAAACCTATTACGAGACCCACATATCCATAACTTTGCTTCCAAGCTAGCCTTCCTGTGTTCTGTCAGGTTGTAGAACCACTGGTCAGGATCTCAACCCGCCGTCTTCATTCGATCGGACTGGTGAGATTTATCCCTCGGATACCCTGGCGCCTGCACGCGGCGTGTTTTCTGTACTCGCCGGGCGCGCGTCTCTGGTCGAGCCGGGGGAGACCCGCTGATTTCGAACATTTCAAAGGGATATATAACCGAAGTGCAGACGGGAGTCCCCGCCCAAACCAGGGACTTCCCCCGGGCACAGGGTCTGTAATTGTGTCAGGAAGCATCGCGTCTTTAGGCCACAGCAAGTACCTTTTATGGATGACGTCCACGCGCGCATTGATTTTGGCCTGTTCCCTGAAAAAACACACACAAGAATTAAACTTCGCTTTCTGTAACTATGACGAAAGGGTCACGACAGTGGGATAAGGGAAGATGTGATTAAATGAAAGAGGACAGGACGACGACTGCTGTTCCACTGATTATTGCTGTTTTCACGACGAATAAAGACTTGATGGTTGTTACTCTGTGTTCTCTCATTTGTGTCTTAACATTTGTCGTCCCTTAGTATATTTCAAACCTAGGCATTTTGCTTTTTTTAGCCCTTCTTGTTTTTCTTTCGCGCTCTCGCATTAGATTTAGGGCCTCCAGAGGACGTCATCCATAAAAGGTACTTGATGTGGCCTAATGTAAGAAGGGGCCCGGGGTATATAATTGTGTCAGGAAACATCGCGTCTTTATCTGTGAAATCGCCGCCCCCAACACGCGAGCCTGATTACTGACCCGCCCGGTGCCGAGCGGATAGAAACTGATCAGCAACAGCTGAGGGAAGGAAGAGCCGGTACTGATCCTTCAAGCAGATACGTAAAGGTAGCTCGTTTTTAGCGTCTTTTTAGCAGTTTTACTCTTTTCGATGCGGGGGGCTCTTTAACGTGCATGGGGTGTGGTTCTCCCAAACACGGGACCTCCATTTAACGTCCTATCCGAGGGACGTCCCTAACCGAAACTAGGCACTCATTTACACCTGAGTGAAGTGAGGAAAGCCGCGTAAAGTGCCTTTCCGAAGGGCACAAGATCGGTGACGTCGGATAGGATTCGAACCCGGGACCTCTTGGGTCTCAGCCGAACACTCTACCGCTACGCCACACAACCTCACAGAGGTATTTTCTGTTTTAGAACATGTAGAAGGTCGGCCTAAAAAGCGGGCATTCCTGCCAGGCGCCTCGGCCCAGAACAGAGCTTCGTCCAGACGCGGTTCTGGACACAACTGGGATTTTCAGGGGAAGCCTAACCCCCGGGCATGTCTGCCATGGTAGTCCTCATAAAATAATGATAATCTCCATCAGAGCTCTTTGTAAGCTGTAGTTAGGCCATGTTGATTTGATTATCATGGATGACATCCTCTTGGAACCCGAGCGAGCGTGCGAATAAAAAAAGTTTGGCAAAAAAAGTTTCCTTCATTATAAAATCTACGTGGTAATGAAGGTTGAACAAATGACTAAACACACAGCTGCAGCATTTTCATTTCTTTACATTCTCTTCTTTTCTTGAATTAATTTTAGTATTCTGTGACATTAGTATCGTTTTCCAATACGTTTTTTTTTTCAACATTCGACATATATTCCCTCATTTTGTACGATTTACAGTATGGTCTACAACTTTTTTTTTGGAAACGGACGAAAATTTATGCGCGCGCGTGTGGATGTCATCCATATAATAAAGTAATCATGGCCTAATAGAGAAAAAAGAGGGCCGGGCTGAAGTCGGATTGGGATGTACACTATACCATATGGAGGAACAGTGTATATTTCAGAATAGGATTTGAGAATTATTTTCGATACCGTTGCAGGACAGAGCAAGTGTAATATAGCGCCCTCTATAGATTCGTTTGGAAACTGCAATGTTACAATAGATGCAGTTGTTTCAAAAGTTTATATGTCTTTTAATAGTTAAAACTGGTTTGTAAGCAATAGATCTAGTTGTTAAATTATATCATCGTATACAATTAAGTTACGAAAGTTACAGGATATATACTGTAATATTTGGGATTGTGAACGCCTTACTAAAATGTTATATGTTGAATATATTATATATTGTATACACACCACATCATTAAAATTCATATATTCATAATCATAGCTATCCTTTCATATAAATTCAAAAGGCCAATTGAAAGTGATCAGTTAATAACGTACATTAACTTACAGCATTAAAAGGATTAACTGTTTATATTGAATTAGTAGTAATTGTTGTTAGGCTTAATTAATTGTTTTCGTAATAATTTGAAACAATTGATGACTACCGTTAAAATCAGAGCTAGATGTTACCTATATACGTATTATGATATAAATATTATAATGTAAGAATATAAATAATATTTCATTGCTAATATTTCATAAATGATATTTCATCCTTGCTCAAAATGTGACGCTTAACGTCGGTATTTATTCTAATGTGTAGCATGCAGTAATAATGAAAACACAGCTAACATTATCAAGCACAGTTAACAATAGGTTTAAAGTTGACAAGACTTAACTATGTTGTTTCAACACGCACTAAATACAATTATGGACTTAAGTTGAAGTATAATATCTTAAATTAAACGCATCTTAACAAGAAACTAGAACTTATAACACAATCCATATGACTATTGGCATGAACTATTTACATGTAATGAGCCAGTAGTTTTTCAAAGTTTATCATATGGTATACTACCAGGTGGGACATTGGTTTGGACCTTTGGCTGAGACATAAGAAAGGTCGGGTGTAATTAGATCGAGATCTAGATCTAGAATTAGATCCAGATCTAGATCTAGAATTAGATCCAGATCTAGATCTAGAATTAGATCCAGATCTATACACAGAAAATGTGCTGATCCGGAAGCTAAATCCTGTGTGGGTCATTAAGTTCCCAAAGCATGCACGCAATTTTACCCTGATTTTTGTTCGGATCGGGAGTTTGTACTTCATAGCTAGTTCTATACATCGTTCTCTTTCCTGCCGTAACAATAGCACGACCTGCGTTACCCACAGCTACCGAAGTGGTATCCCTGATGAAGGTTACTATCTGTAAATTTTCTGTCTTTGGATCTAGACTTTCCTCCGCATACACATCCATAATGATAGTCATGAACATACTCAGTAACACAAACTGCATCATGAATTGGTACGAGAAGAACATCAGGGGGCCAAGCATTGCGTGTCCCTCCACGATAGCATCGAAGTCAAAACTACCCAACATCATAGTGCACAAACTCGCAAGACTGGACAGTATGTTCTTGTAACCCTGAATCTTCGTACCGAACAGAAGGTTACCCATTTGTGTGAAAGCCATAAGGACGATGCAAGCGATGACGCAGAATTGCATCACGGGTTTGAAGGACTTCTTGAGCGTCATAGTCAGAGACAAAACGTGCGAGTTAAACCGAAGAAGCTGAACGAACTTCAGCGTCACGCAACAGATGAGAAAACCTAAAAGGTACGTGTAGACTCCGTACCAGTTGGCTACACTTTTGTAGAGCTCAAAGACAGGAGATGCTCGTTGCTCCGCCGTCTCATCTATGATGTACTGAGCTTTGAGGTAGACGCCAAGAGCGGAAAAACCGATGGCAATAACCAGAAGCTCCACCCAACTCCAGAAGTCACTCAGGTATTGAATCGGACGCGAGTAGATCTTTTTGACTGAAATAACAGGATTTGAATAAATATTCACGTTGTGTGCTTGATGTTAATATATTACAGAAGTAACACTATGTTCCAACACAAACATTAGTGCTCTCAGGGCACATTGGACCGTCGCTGAACAGAGACGGCGGGCGATATAGACTTCCAGGCTATTTTGACTAATAGCTGACGTCCATTACTGTCACGTGACCTGGATGATTAGTTAATTGAATTTTGCAAAAGACTGCAGTAGGACAGTTGAACATACAGCGCGTTTTATATAGTGGAACATTATTCATCTCTATAGTATAAGATTGCAGGACGTTGTACGTATGTTTTATCTCAAACGTAGACTGATTTTTTAGATTTGTTCTCTCATTTCTGCCATACTTTGTACCTTGTACATTGTTGCGTAATAAAAGTCTATCTCAAATGTGACAGATTTCATGGATAATGATACCATATCGAAAGCAAAGGGGCGTCATTAAACGTGATTGAAAATCCAGCCAGCAATACTTAATTCTCTCACCTTCCTTTGCCGTAAAGAACACCAAGAACATCCCCATCAAAACTCGGAACGCCAGCAGGAGTAGGGCGTCCCGCTGAATCAGCCGCAGAGTCACAACCTCCCCACTCGTAAAGGCAGCTCCAAGCGGAGTAAACTCTACCACGATCGTTACCACAGAAAACAGGTTCGCGTGAGGGTTGTAGAGAATCAGCTCCACGAAAACGGCTCGCGTTCGCTCGTCCAGCCAGCTGTGGTGCTGTAAGAACGCCGCCGTTGCTTCGCTCGCTTCCCGTGACGTCCCAAGAGTTGTTGAGTATCCACCCCCGCTGAGATAGGTGCCGTGTTTTGCGACGTACGGAAAGCCTTGAAAGACGGAAGCAAAAAGCTATCTCACAATATTCCGCGTGTTATTTCTTTTCTTTTACGTGTTCTTTTTTGTTAAGCAAATGTTTGAAAAATGTTCCGTTTACCGAGGAGCTTAAAGCTAAACAAAGCTCGAAAAAAAATTCAGAAAACGTAAAAAAATATATCCCGGTTGTTCATGCACAGCCATGATGCATTGTGGTCTAAATCAAAATTTAAGATACCTTCAAACATTTGTCCAGTCCAGTAAATATGCAAAGGGTAGGAACTCATGCTGAGAGTTTGAAAAATAATGTTTTGACTTACTGTCGCTGACGGAGGCAAATGTGTATTCCCATGTCGTATTTCCTGTCAGACAATCCCCAAGTCTAGGCATGTCTAACGTTAGATTCGTCAGCGAAGGGCACACAGCCGGTTCAGGCTCCGTGGAGTTGGAGGTATCATTAGAGTAGAAGGTATTATTGTATGGGACCCAACCCTGTGGTACAATATATAAAGATTACATTGTGAAATGGTTCGTAAACATATCAGCTCCACATTACAAACATGCATATATACTACCTGGGATCTTATGGTTTTAAAAAGTTAAATATCTCAATCTGGAGAGTTTTTAAGGGTGTTAATCCACCGTCATGGCATTAAAATCTAAACTCCAACTGGGTGAATTGAGGAAAGTCATATAAAGTGCCTTGTTATTGGGCGCAATGTATATGTATCAATCAACCCCGTAGTTTCTCGATCTCGCTTCTACCAGACTAATTACAACTCTAGTATTGATGAAAGTTTTAGACAAATTTAAAGCTAAACCCTCAAATGTTTCAGTTGATGTAAAATTAAATTTTACCTCAATGTAGTCTCCTGTATCTGCATTAAGATGGGAGTATCCAGTGGTACATCGTGGGAGTAAGGTTCTCAGCTGTTCGGCCGTCTGACAAAGGTGATCTAAAAATATACATTTTTAAAAATATTTCTAAAATCAGCCAAATTGCCCATTGCCAACAACCATGGCATAAATATATAAACATATGTACACATGCGGATATAAAGACAGTGTAAAAAGTATAGTTATGACAAAATACATAAGAATCTATCAACCCCTTCTCCAGTTCTTTTGCAATGCCTCTAACAAAAGATGTCCCTGCAGTTCCTAATAAAGTTGATAGGGGTCGTGACCCAAGATCAATCTGCCACCCATAAGTCATGACCATAAAGCACGTCCAGGACCTGGCATCATGGTTATGCACTTCAATCAAAAGCCGCCAGAGGGCACACTTACCAGGTACCAGCCGTACTTGTCTCAGCTGTGTCGTGCCGAGTTGATGGGTTAACATGTCCGGTAGCACCATGTCGTCATACGTGGCTTCTCCGTTGTACAATTCCTCCGAGTGTGTGGCAGGAATCAGACCGTCTGTTACCCACTCCCAGAATGATGGGATGTCTTTAATCTGAAAAGGTAAATGAAATATTTCATACATCGTTTCAGTAGGGTACATACACATACACAAACACACACACACTAACACACACTCAAACACACACACACACTCAAACACACACACACACACACACACACACACACACACACATACACACACAAACAGACACTCACGCACACACTCACACACACACACACACACACACACACTTATACACACTTATACAAACACACACACACACACTCACAGAGAGAGAGAGAGAGGTTCCTTACATCTGGAATGTCGTCCTGTCCTCCCATGATGTTCTCCTTCACGTTCTGTGTCATGTGGAAGGCCAGCGGACTCCTATCGCCGTAAGCTATGAGCATGATGACCGCAAAGAACAGTCCGAACACCAACACCTCCAGAACGGCGTTACGGCGTTTGCGTTTCTCTGCGGTCTTGGCTCTCACTTCTTCCAAGGTGGATTCGTCCGGCGGTGATGTGGACATTTCGTGGCCCGGAGACTAATCAAAAAGTGAGATTAAAACACACATTAGCTACTATTGCATAGTGAACAAGGCAAAACAAATGTGTGTTAGCCTTTCATGACCTGGAGACTGATAAAAATGCAATGAAAAACAGCTCAACAAAATATAGCTATTTCTGTATACTCAACAAAACAAGGATTCAAGATGGCCGCAGCCGACCAGCCATTTTCCTGACTTTTGTCGTACCCCGTTAATCAAAGTAAAAGTAAAAGACACCTCAAGAAAAAGAACTTATAAAATTCAATGTAAGTGTAGAAAGTATTGAACACCAACCTCGGTCCCGGCAGTATATTTCGCAGCCCGGTTCATACCCATGTACCGCATCCAACCTGTTGCGCTGTTCCACACGGTTTGGGATCTGACATCCTATTTGTGAATGGCAAATGAAGATCCTGATTAGGAGTAAAGGATCTGCAGCATGGATTGTCACTTTCACTCTAAAGGGGATATTTCAAAAACTAGCAGACTGTCTACTGACACGCACACATACACATATTTTATATATTTATATATATATATATATGTGTTTGTGTGTGTGTGTGTGTGTGTATGTGTATCATTTTTTGATTTAAGCACACGCATGCGTTCATACATGTTAAAATACATGTTAATAAAAGGTCTGTAGTAACTGTTTATCAGCCATTTCTTGCTACTTTAAACAGACAATCAGTGTCAAACTATGGACAATTGCTTAACATACAATATTGAAACATGTTACCTCAGCATCGTTTTGCAGTAATCCCTCATCATCCGCCACAGGTGAGGCAAGTGGATCCTCTTCCTCTACTGGTTTCTGTATTTAAACACAAAGATGGACAAAGATCAATACTTAATGGTCTAATTTTCTGTCAGTATATTCTTGTTTGTTCTCTCTCTGTCCCTCTCTCTCCCCTCTCTGTCTCAAATCTCTATCTGAGACAGCTAGTACAATTGTATATTAAAACAACGCTTTTTGTTGTCAGCAATTCACTTTTGCTAAGATGTCTAATCAAATGTCAACATTATTCAGTAAACAAAGTCGTAGTGCCGTTTTGATTTTACAAATTCATACATAAACCTTCAACAAGACCCATCTACCATGCACCACTGACAAATCTTGACCACAACATGAGCGATATATTGAAGTGTTGACGTCACACTTCAAAGAAGCCACGTGACAAGCTTCACTGGGTCAGTCTACTGAGGAAGACCAGAGTGACTGGTCGAAAGCTCTAGGTGAGAGTTTTTTTTGTGTTGGACCAAAAGTTTTAACTTTAAACATTTAACTACCTACACAGATGAACTTTCATAATAGTATGAGCGATTTAAATTTTTACTGCAGTATCATAGCGAATCATCATAGCGAATCGAATTTGACAAGCGTACCCTGTAGAGCAGGGCAAACACGACCGCCACCAGAACCAGCTTGACGGGTTGGATCAGCAGCATGTCGGTGAAAAATGACGTGAGGAAGGTGACGGCCCAGGCCTCCGCCTTGGCCGGACCGAAGCTGAGCGAGTACAGGATGGTGAAGAAGGCGGCCACGAAGCTCGCGGACCAGACAAGCAGCCAACCTGGAACATATGGGTTATTACACTTATTATTATTTGTTTATTGTAATGTACCAACTTCGGTCTCTTGTTCGCCAAAAGTCGTGGCCCAATTTGGAACGAGACCTACTTTCATAATTAGCAGTTTCCGGTGAGTTCTTGCAAATCATTTATAGCGCTTCTTGAGACGTATATCAAATCTAATATATAAAAAACATGTACAACCCCCTAAGTCATCTCAAATAACTTTAATATCAAAGTTGTCAGAATATACTAGTATCTCAGTATTAGCTGAAGCAAAATATTGTCATCATGTCCTCAGGGTTTGCTCATTGTTTACCTAGATACCCCCAATCTTAACATACCACAAGTAAGCTCTTGACATTTGACGACATGACGACATCTTTTTGGCTTTCATTTATTCTCCGGCTGTGTAGCTAGCTTAGTTTATAGCTTTACTTTACTTTGTAAAGGACTCCAAAAGAGACGAACACTCACTACTTACCTAAGAACACACACCACGAGGGCAGGGAAAACTTTTTTGCCGAACCGGCTTTCTCATTTTCATCCTTTCTCGAGCTGTGGTCGATCCTAGTAGACGATTGCATGCCGCTTTCTGGGACAAAGTTTTCTCTCACGGCCATGCCGATAGCCGGTCTGTTGGTCGGGCAAAAATAGGACGGAGTGTTTGGATGATTGGAGGAAGAAATTTCTCCCCTTGTACGATCCATCTTCGAAGATTCCAAGACAGGGACGTCAGCCGATTCCAGGGTACGGCTGGCCGGCTGAGATTTTGATTTCTCGTCGTTGCTTGCTGTTGGTGTGTTTCTTCCGGAGTAGCGGAAGAAAAGAGCGATCAAGATATTGACGGGGAGAATGATGAGTGCACTCTGTATGCCGATCATCAACTGGGACAGAAGAACAGAAAGTGTTTTATGAATTAAGTTGTTATGAAATGTAGGACTGGTGTAAATATATATACATTTCATATAGGATGCCGCACAATAGATTTCTAGCCTCCTAGGCTCTCGCTCTCTCTCTCTTTCTCTCTCTCTCTCTCTCTCTCTCTATATATATATATATATATATATATATATAGAGAGAGAGAGAGAGAGAGAGAGAGAAAGAGATACCGTACAAGGAACATTAAAAATAATTGTATCTACCTTATGTATCTATAGTTGTAGAAAAGCCTTACGTTCCTGTACTTTTAATAAAGTTATATAAAAATACTCCATACCTCGGGGAGTGAGATAGGAGGCCTGATCTCCACCCCAGCCACTCTGATCGGTTCAGGCGGGTCGAAGTCGTCCCCGCGGCCGAAGAACATGATGTTGGTGAGCATGGTGCTGTAGAGCAGAGCCAGGCAACAGGACAGGCGCTGGACTCGGTTAAACGGGCTCCGGGCCGGGCGGAAGGCGACAGAGAACCACAGGTGATCGTCACTCATGTCCCTGGGTGTAATTTGATATGAAAATCAGAATGAAATCCAAAAGAAATCTAGAATAATAACATTTGCAAAGCAAATGCGTAATTTTACCTTCACATGGTCTAGCTTACCAAACTACTGTTATGTTTTTTTGTTACTCAACCACATTCATATGTAATGCACGGTGCCTAGCCCCTCCGACTCTGTCTTGCTGCAAAATGCAACCAAACACCACAGGGTGTCTGCTACAGCACCAGTTACCATGGTGACAGACGTCTGGTCCAGGTCATTGAATTTGTATGTTTGGAAAAGAAAGGGAATAAACTGAGGAAAAATAATATGTTTTCCTTCTGCGAAGGTAAACATAAATAGACCCCCGGGAAGTATTTTGGGATTCCAGACATCCCACACGTTAGCACCAACAACACTAAGAGGAAAGCTGTGTTGTGTACCTGTAACTTTTAGCCCAGAAGACGTTGCGAAACTTCGTCATTTCCTCCGGTGGAGCCGAGGGAATCATGCGGTCGATCTGCCCATCATCCTCATCGACACCAAACCACCTGCGAAACAAACAATTGAATTTCTGTGGCCCTTGAACGGTATAGACTCCAGGTGTGTATTGACAGCTATGCAGCTATATAGCACTAGATAGGGACTTAGAAATACCTGTTTGCCAAGAAATAGGTTGTTTCGTTCGTCCCTCTGTTGAGTATAACCACTTGACTCAGGAACCTGACAATGACAAAAACGTACTATCAGCAATACTATTAATTCCATTTATAACGAACAATAATATGAATATTTTAGAATGGACAAGCTAAAGCAACGCCTTTGAATAACATTCAAATATAACACCATAATAATCTCACCATGCAGGGCTGTACCCTGCGTTGTTGTGCCACACACGCAGATGAGTCAGTGGCCCTACAGGCTGTTCTATGGAGACCAGGAAGGAGTCCACACTGCCACGCTCAAACAGAAACCGCTTGGAGTCTCTCAGTACGATCGGGGGGCTGTACTCCGTAAAGCCGTATAAGGAGATGGAAATCTGAAATAGACACCATTAGGTTGATGAAGGTTAGACATCCAGGTATTGAGAAAACTGTTACTCGTTCAACTAGATATATTTTGCAAACTGTTAGACGTCAGTAGCGTCCACTACTTTTTGGCACTGATGAAAAGTAGTGGATGCTACTTGAATCGTCTGGCAAAATCTATTCAGTTGCCTGAGAAACAGTTGTCTAGTTTATGTAAATTTTATTGCATATTATACATATCTATTAGAAAAATTATTTGTTGGAAAATGACATTAATTATATTAATGTGTAAATGTGCAGTTACAGTACGCTATTGCTAGGTTTAACTTTTGGTGGTGTGAGCCCTATCTTACTGATAACATGTTGTAAGTAAGTCTGGTGGATTACCTAGATATAGATCATTACCAGACTTAGCTTGAATTGGTAAATACCACGTTGTCGCTCAGTGATGAAAGAACACTTACATCAGCAGTGGTGCCAGCGTTTCCCCGCAGTCCGGTGTACACAGTAACCACGTACTGACAGTCCTTCCTCGGGTTCAGTCTGTGGCCGGGTAGCAGCCAAAGTCCTACCTTTTTTGGAACAGAAAAAACAGTTGGTCATTTCAGCCCTCATGGCCATTGTAAAACGAACAACATTTCTGTAAAACTGTACATATTTCATATGACCTGGCCGGGATTCAAACTCGCGACCCCCTGTCAATACAAAGAGAACGCTCTACCCTATGCTCTTGCACTGGTACACATGTTCGTCATAGGCCGTATCTTATGTTTTAGCTTCGATGGCTTTAACGTATTTGGATCATTTCTTGTTTTTAAGTTACACTAGAACTATATGATATGAATTTACTGTCTCCATTTGCAAACAGGCGGTTGAAATCTAATCTCCAAGCAGATGTTTGGTGGCCACGACGACAGTATGAAATTGACCTGCCTGTATCCATTGGCCAGAGAGTATCCATTGGTTACAGCCTGGCCAAGCTGATGCTGTTTTGTGGCCACCGAACGATATGCTTAGAGATTAATTGAAACCTATGTTAACTGCTGCTTACCTTCGTTTGGTCCTTTCTATCAGCTTTCCTCACGCCCAGGAGGCCAAACAGATAGGAGGCGAAAACAGCAAGAACCAGGGCGAGTCCCACCGGGTTTTCTATAAAGAAATAGAAAACTTTTTAAAATGCCTCAAAAGAAATACGAAAGGAAAATGATTAAGGAGAGATAGTTCATAAATTGAACAAATGTCCTTCCACTCAAAAGTACGTGTTCGTTTAAAAACATTGCATTGCATTACATAAAAATTGTTCATTTCGTTTTGGCATGCTATTTTTTTGCCAGTATATGTAACTCTACTGCTTATGAACACATCATTTTTGAATACCGTTTAGCGCGACGAAGCCGAGGTCTAGAACTTCCTCAATGTAGAGTGGATTTGGCGACACAAAACCAGCAAACTTGGTCAGGTGGTTACATCGGCAATGGATGTGGGTACTGTTTGATAACGAACCAACCTGAAAGCGTTCGTTAATTATTTTAATATCATTATAACAATCATTGTAATTTTGTGAAATATGTATCAACACAGGTGTATTGTATCATACTATATAGAAATATGTATTTATAATTTAGATTGGTAAAAAAAATCAATAATTTGATACAAAAAGCCAACACGTAACTCTTGGTTTAACTCTTGGTTATATCTTTTGACCTTGACGGAGGCCGCTACAAACTACAGGTCGTAATTGACCCTAGATCTTGTCGTATGCGTATGAAGAAAAAGGCCTACTTACATTGCAACCGTCACTTTGCCACAGGTGGGTGTTCCCCTCGGCAAAGTAGACGCACGCAGTCTCGAACACGGAAAGAGTGAAGTCGACAAACTCTTCACTACCCAGGTCCAGTTCAGACCCGAACTGTACTCCTGTTATGAAAAACATTTAGATAGATAGATAGAGAGATAGATACATAGATACATAGAGAGAGAGACAGAGAGAGACAGAGACAGAGAGACAGAGACAGAGAGAGACAGAGAGAGAGAGACAGAGACAGAGAGAGACAGATACAGAGAGAGACAGGGAGACAGAGACAGAGAGACAGAGACAGAGACTTTCATCTTCAATTGCATTGTCACGGATAGTAAGGTGGTTTCACCATACCTATGTAATACCGTGTCCTCTTCACATCTCTCTTGGTGATGCGTATCTCTCCCTCCGGTACGTGCCACTGGAAGGGACTGGACGTCATCCCCAAGCCTCCAAGAGTAAAAAGCTGATCATCTGGTAGCGGCAGGGTGACTGACCATCCGTGTGTATCCGTTGTCGGCGGCTCGTGCTTGTTTAGATACAGCGTCGCGGGTTGCCAGTTGCTCGAACTGTTCTCAGTGTTGACGACAAGACTGAAGCCGAGAGATGAAAATTCCCTCTTCGCATAAAACCGGAACGACTAGAAATTTTAAAAAAATGAATATATATAGTCAATGAAGTGAAACCAAATTTCCGACCACTCTCTTTGGAACATTAATTGCATACAAACCTAGCACTAATTAGCACCATTATTAGGTATTATTTTAAGACTTTGCGATTACCAATTTGAAAGTTTTCTCTTTCCCAAGGATTGAATGAATCAATGAATGAATGAATGAATGAATGAATGAATGAATGAATGAATGAATGAATTACGATTTATTAACATGTCCTGCGACTACACGCCGTCCAGGCCAGAAGGTGTCATAAGACATCAACAAAAGAAAACATCATAATACGGTCAAAATATCCGAGTGTTAAATCAAATCAGAAAGAAACCTTAATGGTAGATATCCAGACATAATAATAGACGGTACAGAGATTGACAAAACATTGACAGGACGACAAAACACCTACCGAAATATTCCCCAATTCCGCCGAATCAGAGAAGATGTACGTCACATTGTCGAGGCCCTCGTCGTGCGCCCTTCGTGTCAGGATGTCGATCGGCTCTTCCAGATCTGAGATGGAAATCGTCTCGCCCCTACAGCTGACCTGGAGGCCGATAACATCGGACTGGATTCCGTACGAGTTTTCGGAGTACTCGAATGGGTTGAAGTTGGCCTCAAAGAACTGTAGATTTGGACATTTGCATCAATCAATTAACGAAATCAAGAAGGCTTTGAAACAAAACGTGAACTTTCAAAGACCAGTTACCAGTTTAGCATTGAACAGTGGCTATTAAAAGTATGTACATATGTAAAGAAAACATTATAAACAAGGAGAAGTCGTAGACATCATCCCTCCATGAAATAGCTTGTTATTTTGTAATCTTTTGGTGTATTTCAATAGAGATATTATGAGTCAAACTTTGTTTTTATCAGCAGAATGATTTGTGGTGTCACTTTGTATTTATTAAGCTGTCATGTGCAGGCGTTTAGTGTCTTGTTACCATGGTTTGTTTACTTTGATGGCCAGCAGGTCATTTGCCTTAGCCTGGGTACCATCCCCAGTAGTATATTCGCAAACTCTATAACTGTTATAGAGTTTGCGAATATACTACTGGGGATGGTACCCAGGCTACATTTGCCTGTACATGTAGGTCAATGACCAGGCAAATGACCTGCAGACCAGACAAACAAGATTTATTTTCCTGCAGACTGTCTAGGGGTAAAAATAGATAGGACTGCCTGGGTCTGACCTGCCAGCTGGAGGTATAAACAAAAACACTCTGTCCCAACTTTTGGGTCAAACAGACCATCCTATTATGAAGTAGGGGTGAAAAAGTGAAAATCCTTTTAAATTAAGCAATAAAAATATGCGACAACCTGCTAATGCACTCCAAAACACAAAGAGACTCAACAACTACCCACATACCAAAAATCATACCAAACCATCCCCCAGATTTTCCAAACATTCAACACAAAAAGTCCAACATTAAACATTTTGTAAATATCAAACGCAAACAGCTAGGGGACCCAAATTTAAACCACTAAACCATGGTAATAACAACTACATGCTACCTTAATATCGCACAAACAGTCCATAACGCGAAAACAACAGAATAAAAAAATTAAACTGCAGTACCAAGGTCAATCACCAGGGGCTCAAAGTCAACCTACACAATCTCCAAGGCCCCATCCATCAATCTGCCAAATATCGTACAGTTCCTTCTCACCGATCTTCAGATATCAGACCAAACATGAAACGGAGTAAAAACAGTACCCCCATTTTCATGGAGGGTAAAAACATCGTATTAACAACTAGCATGTGCAGACCATGAGATATATCAATACCAAAATCTAATCATTTCCAGGTCTTATGTAGACCTATCCAAATACCAAATATCAAGACAATCCGTCTTAGCCTTCTCGATCAATCGTCTTACATAAATTGTTGTGATTACTCTAGGGTATACAATAAGCGTCTCTAAGAAAGAGTGATTATGTTCACCTGTATTTCCACTGGCTCTTCCACAGTGCACTTGTCTCCCACCAGTGAAGCGACTGATGGAATGCGAACTAACGAGTCACTTATCCCCTCAACCAGGTACACTTTCTCCTCCGAGTCAGTTTTGTTTTGTCGCTGAATCCTTAAATGCACCTAAAGGGAAAATAATCGGGTGTTATTTCTTATTGCGTGAAGTAGTCCCTAGACCTAAGTAAACATGTTAGTCTTCCTCTTTCCATTTCTAAAGAATCATAGATGACGTGTTTTCAGGCGTTTTAAGTTGTTATGTTTGCTACTCAAGGATGTTTCGGAAGTTTTACATTTACAGAGTAGCCTGGAAAATCAGTCTCATTGGACAAAGTAAGAATCTTGGACACGGAACAAGGCGTTTTTGCATTAGATATTATATCATTCCAGCCATCACCTAACAAAGACGGGGGCTGCCACACCCACTCCTATTATTTATATATACCTGAGTATCGCTCAATTGGCGGTTTATTCGGGGGTTATATGTCACTTGTCAGGCCTTATGAGCTTGGCCATTAACCAGTAATTCTGATGTGCATAATTTTTCATACCTTGGAAGTGTTATAATCAGCGAACACGTCTTCATCTGTTAACTCAGACATCGTTGCATTCAGTATGACGTCACCCAACAAGTCCAGTGCCTGAAAAGCGAGGGTCGTGGCGGCCTTGCTCTAAACGATAGAGAGAAAAACAATTCTGAATAAATACATTGTCATCTCAAACTCATGATAACTCCGTGATTAAAATTTCATTAAAATTTTCCTTAACAAAGAAGAAAGTTGTCGTGAGGTCGTGTGGCGCAGCGCGGCAGAGTGCGCGACTCGGAACCAAGAGTCCCGGGTTCGAGTCCTGATATGACACCGATCTTGTGCCCTTGGGAAAGGCACTTTACACGACTTTCCTCACTTATAGCTCAGGTGTAAATAAGTATTGTCCTGCCATGTATTTGTCCCCTGTGTTGGTGGCGGCATTAATATAAGTTGGAAAAACTGTGTCGTCACTACGTCTGGTGATTACATGTTGGAAAAAAAAAATATAAAAAAAAACAAAGAAGGAAGCCAAGATACATGAGGAATTATAAAACTTCGTTCAGAAGGAAAAATAAAGCCGAAACCAATAGTTTACGTAAAAGATGTCCCTGATCAAAGAGGACTCAGAAACGTAAGAAAACACCTTCAAGACATCGATATTTTGACGTACCGCTTCTAAGTCGGAAGAGGCAGTGGTTCCTCCTCTACGTTCCGACAAAGCCATCACCTCCGAGGCTTTAAGGATATTCGACACACCTGTTAACACAAAAATCCACTGTAACATTTACAATACAGTCATACTGTAACGGATTAGCGTAATATAGAAAAAATTTGTACAGCAAATGCCAATAAGTCTTATGCACCTTCAGCCTTGGCAATTGTAGAAGACTATCAACAGAAGTCCTTAACAGAGAACTGAAATAACTTGGCCATGTAGTATGTCCTTAGAATAGATGACCGAAGAATACCCAACACAGCCTTACAGCGGAGACCGGTTGGGAAAAAGAGGCAGACCCAAAACGACTTGGAGAACTGTGGCAGATGACCTATCGTCCAGACCCAGATGGGATGATTTAAAGTCATGGCTTTTTGTCTCAGCTGCAGCTTTCAAGAGGACTAAACACCTGCCGTGTTGCAAAATCGTTTAGACACGTGGGATAAAAGCCATGGGATGCTGACCTTTGACCTGCTCATGCGCACTCGAAATGTGACACTGCTCACCTGTGACCATAGTACCCGCCGCTCGGTTGAGAAAATCCAGAGGAATTTGCTCTTCAGTACTGTTTTCGGACTCTACAAATAACAGATCCCTTACTATCTCTGTCATTGACCTCAGAGTAGACGCTGCTTGAACCTTAGTAATGGGATACATAAGAGTGTATTAGTATCGCCAGTGTTGACGTCACACTTCAAAGAATCCACGTGACAAGCTCCACCGGGTCAGTATACTGAGGAAGACCAGAGTGACTGGTCAAAAGCTCTAGGTGAGAGAACTTTGTTGTGTTGAATCAAAAGTTTTGACTTTAAACATGTAATTAACTACCAACACAGATGAACTTTAATGATCATGTATTAGTATGTTTTGCCAATATGACAGCGTCAGTGACATTTGAGATAATAAATGTAACATTTACGGTCCACTTATACTGTGAATAATCGACATTCTTTTTTGGACATAGAATACATTAAAATGTTTAGTATGCTTTGCCTCCACCCCATTCCAGATTTGATAATCACACTGCATTTCAACACAAAGAGTAAGTTTGACGAATTATGATATCAATATCCCCTAAAAGTAAATATATCTTATTCCTTAGGATGCAATGTTGAAAGTTTCTTTGTCGTAACGTTCTGTAAAGATATGTATAATCATGACACATTTTAAACGTTTACAGACAACTGTGTATACAGAAACACACAAAAAAGTCATCCATAGAATGAGCCATCATATAGTCTCCACCAGACTCCTTTGCAGGGCTGAATAAATAGTAGGGGGAGTTAGACGGCCATAGAGAGTCCAATTTCCTTGCAGACAGATTGGGCCCTCTATGACCGGCTAACTTCCCTAGCCAGTTGCATTCCTTTTTAGGCCGATGTCTACTATCCATTCAACCTTCAAATGAGTCTGGTGAAGACTAGTCACCATAAAGCGCATGCAAGTTATTTGAACTAGCGGACGGAAAGTAGCTGTAGTAAATGTAATAACCTGTGATTTTGCCGACACTTGTTCTGGGCTGGCCGTTACCAGTGTTATTGCTGATGCCACGCCCATGAGCCCCACGTAGTCGTCCACTACCCCCTCTGCCTCTGCCATCGCCTCGATGGTAATGTCAACCAGCTATCGTTACACCGACCGTAGTGAGACAAAGAAGTTACATCGATATCCATTAATAGTTTCACCAGGTTGGTAACTTTCTGAGTAAAGAGACTCTTTTTACACAACCAAGCGTTTGCCCTGAGGAAGGTGTCAGACGGTCTCGTCGGCTGTGAATAAAACACTTGGTTCTGTAAAAAGAGTCTCTTAACTCAAAGATGTTACATCTTTGTTAGTGACTTTTGGGAATTGCTTATCGACATCTTTTACGCAAAGAAATATGATTTTGGCAATATAGGTAGACAACGAAAATACATTTGTTAGGTACAATTGGGAATGTCTTATCAACATGTAGTACCAACAATAATGAAATATTTCGAGAAAAATAGGGGAGCAAATTCATCATATTTCAGTCCATATCCGTCCTCATATCAAAATGGACTGTTTCATGTCAACCTTTTTCATATTTGGTGCTCTTGGATATGGAATATTTTCATGTAGTCCCCAATACCCAAACTGTGCTTTTTATATGCTCGAAACCCCCATACAGTGCTTTTCAGTTCAAGGTGTTTTCGAATCCCGCATATGGTGCTATACATACCTCGTATGGAGTATGGACTGAAATACTTACTATTCTTTTTGCATTGTTGGTAAAATGAGTTGCGATATAAAACATATTCTCACCCTCATGACGGCCGATCCGTTGTTGGCTAAAGAGGCCATTGCTTTAGCAGGAATGACGGAGTTCATGAAGGCCTTTTCCTTCGCACCTTGCTGTAGGTGAATGAAGAAAAGACCAGTGTCTTTGTTGTACAACTCTTCTGCAACGTGTATCAACTGCTCCGGCGTAGGAGGTAGTATCTGAAAAAAAAAAAGATTTGGTTGGCAGGTTGTCGTAGAATGGGCAATAAATATGAAGTAAAACTCGTTCTCTATTTCATGTAAATCACACATAGCACAGTATCGTTCCGTTTCAATATTCAATGGTAGAATCCCTGCTCTTAACTGTGCACACAGAGATCTCTGGGTAACATACTTTTCTTGTGCAAATGTATCCTTGATCAGTGCATAAGTTATCAGTTTTGATTTAAGCCATAGCTCAGAGGACCAGTTTTGTTTATATGTATGTTCTAATACTGTATTAGGTTATAACAGGTCATAGGTCAAGGTCGCTCCACTATCCCCCTTCTTACCAAGCATACGTCCTCATAACCTAACTAATTGAAAAAAATGTATCATTACATGGGTAGAAGTTCATACGTGCGCCAAATAAGATTTTGCCATATGTCATATGATTTTGTCATATCTTTACACTTAAGATACATATACCAGGTTTTTTTTAATATCTCAAACGATGCATATGTATCACAATCAACAGACAGCATTAATCTAGGACGAGGTTCTCTTACCCGAACTGGGGGTAGCCGAAAAGTTGCTTCTCGGCCATCAGTGGTGAACACCCTTGGTGTTATAACAACATATCCGGGAGGAATCTCAAGTACCGGAGTGTATTGCACCTAGGATAATGTAAAACATGTTCTTACTGATATTCCTGACTTCTGATTAATTAATTAGATGATTGTTCAGTTTGTATACCTGCTATAGAAACTGTAAACAACGCAAGTAACAAAAATATTCATGTTTACAAGCAATCGTAAACATATACATGTAATACATATATCTACTCATATCTAGAGACTTTTTTTCTTTAAGAACTAGTGTTTTGGTAGACAAAACGTGATTTTCCCTATGGAATATATATTTGAATGACAACCGACAAAATAACATGGAAAATGGAAATGTTTGGCTAATGGTAAAGAATTCGTGAAGAAGTTAATACAACATAACAGAGGTTATGGGGACGTGTGGCGCAACGGCAGAGTGCGCGATTTGGAATCAAGAGGTCCCGGGTTCGAGTCCTGACATGTCACCGATCTTGTGCCCTTGGGAAAGGCACACACGACTTTCTCCACTAGACGCAAGTGAAAATGAGTATTGTCTGTCAAGTATTCGTTTCTATGTGCGGGTCATAATACCAGCAACAGCTGCCTCTGTTCCGCGTGTATTGCACTGTTGCAATTTCAATAAAATAAAAAAAATAAAAAAAGAAATAAATAAAATGTCTTACGTACCCATCCAGAATATACGACCAGAAGGACGAAGATTTCTGTAGGAGGATCATCTCCAGGATACTTGACTTGCGCCATTTCAACTTCGTCGGGGACAAACTCGTACTTGATCTCCATTTGTACTGGTCCGAGTACATCGAAAAATTCTGCAAAAAAAAATAAAAATGGAGTGTATGGTCTCAAATCTGCCCGAGAGCCAACAGGAACTAGTGAGAGTTCAGGAAGTCGAGGTTTTTGGCGACGTCTCAGGGAGGAGCCTAATGGTACAGTATTGTGTGCAATTTGCAAGAATTCTAGGAATTGTCCAGATATTTGTCTACATGCTATCTACCACGGTTATCTACCAAAAAGCTTCAGGATTATCTGGATAATAGTTGCATTTCGATAATACAATTGAACATTTGCAGCAGAATGCTATCTCCAAGTCATATTATAACAACAGCTTCTTTCCCCGGACCGCAAAATTATAGAACTCTCTTCCAAACAGCTGCTTTCCGTCCGATTACAATCCACAAAGCTTCAGAACAAAGGTCCACCTCCATCTCCTGACATAGCTACATTATACTCACTTAAGTACCTCTAGCTCTATGCCTAGAAGTGGCCAAAAATAATTGGCCTTGCATTGAGCGACACCGTTAAAAAATGCAACAAATAGTTAGTTAGACTGATATAACAAGGCAGTATGCCATTGGTACACACTGATCTTGGAATAGCGGACAAGTAAAACACGAACAATAGAATTAAATGAATGAAGTTATGCTATTGAGCAAACCAATATTCCAGTCTATACCTTCACACATGAGGCAGAAGTGGAAAGCCTTGTCTAGCGGCACGGCAGTGCAGACGTCATGATCGGTAGGTGTTTCATCTGGGTCGCCGTCTCGAGTGGAGCTGGGCACGGGATCGGGCAGAACTCGGAACCGCCAGGCTGTGACCCTGGTGTCGTCCCAGTACCAGTGGCTCAACAACCTTATCGTGTAGTACCCTGGCACCTGAAGGGAAAAAAGAGATATTTTTTCTGTTATAAAAGACAAAGGACCAGTTACATTTGCTCGTCTACGAATGAATTGATGAATAATACGTAAAACACATACATACACACAGACGCACAGAAACACACAC